GTTGACATGAATGGAGGTTTTCTTTTATGCTTCAAAAAAAAGAAAAAGAAAAAAGACGAGATGAGAAGCTTACCTGAAAGGTTAGGAATATTTTATTCTCTCTAGTTTATTTTTCAATTGGCTTTGTCAATCAGCTTGTTCAAAAATCATTTCTATAGCATGCTCATAGCAATCAGCAAGCAGATATATACGATATTAGCTTCAATTCGGTAATTGTAAAAATTTGCATGAACATGATGTTAACTCGAACTAGGACTGTCAATGGGGCTAGGCCAGCTCGAGCTCGGCTCGCTCGACTCGACAGAAAGCCCGATGAGCCCGATCATTTAGTGAGTCGGTCTGAGCCTGAACCTAAAAATTAGGCTCGAATTAAATGTGAGCCGAGATTGGGCCTTATTAGGCTCCAATCCGATATAGGTCCGGCCCTTTAATTACCTATATATATAATATTTATATTTTGATATTATGTACAATTATATATCCAAATATATTATTACTAAATACTAAATATATACATAAATTACAAAACACAAAAATACATCTAAAAACTCTTTCATGAGCTTTCTTGAGAGCCAATATTGGTAATGCATAACTAAATCTCTAATTTTTCTTATTGGTTGAGTAAATTTTTGTATTGGCATAATATTGGTTGATTTTTTTTTGGCCTACAAACACAAAAATCATCATGCATATTTGGATTTAAATCACAAGATTATAAAAAAAGTTTCAACTTTTAAAGATATATTGGCTTATGATCGCATGTTTTATTACTATTTTTCATGCATTTTGAATGGATTAAATATAAATATTGTTGAAATTTTTTTGGTTTATATACATTTTAAGAACTATTATTTGTTCATGTTTAGTTTTAATATTATAGTCTTGTAAATGTTAAATTAGTTTTACAACTTAATAGTTATAGTAATTATATTAAGAAAATGAAGGAGTAATAAGTGAGCTTGAGCTAAGTCCGATTAATGCTCACAACCCGAATATTATGTGAGTTGAGTATGAGTTTCACATTTACAAACCCGAAACTCATAGCCCGAAACCCGAAAATGATTCAAATTAAATGAGCTGAGTTTGAACTCATCAAAGCCCGACTCATTAGGCCCGATTGACAGGCCTAACTCGAACCAACGACAAGCGTTTGGTAATGAGATTTAAATTTAGGATAAAATACACTTTACTCCCCTATAGTTTAGCAATTTTTCACATAACCCCCTATAGTTTCAAAAATTATATATAACCCTCTCATAATTTAGACTAAAATATCAAAGTGACAGAAATAATCCTCTATAACGAAATTCGTGAAAATATCGAAATTACCCTTGTTTCAAAACTAAAATAGCCGAAGTTTTTAAAATATAAAAACATAATATGCATAACACTTTAAACCCATATGGTATTATGTTTTACTTTATAACTCCCTTATGGTTTAATACTTTATCACATAACCTCCTTATGATTTTCAAAGTATATATAACCCTTGTGGTTAATAAATAATTTTGAAATTTACATAGTTGTATTTTTGATATTTTAGTTGACTTCATTATAAATGCAAATTTCGTTATTTTGATACTTTAATATAAACTATGAGGGAGTTATGTATAGTTTTTGAAACTATAAGGGGTTATGTGAAAAACGCTAAACTACAAGGGGTAAAGTGTATTTTATCCTTAAATTTATGAAATTACCCCTCTTAAGGTTTAGTAACAAAGTTTCTAATCTGATAGAAGATAATAGGAGAGATCGTGGTCGAAATCCAACCAACTAACATCACTAATGATGGATAAATAGTTATTGAGGGGGTTTTTTTCACAACACTTCCATGGAGGGTAAAAATACACTTCCATCATTTTTAAAAAGGTAATATTAATTAGGAAAAATATATAAATGCAATAGAGGGTAATAATTATTAGCGTATGTGTATACATAATAGGTTGGGTAGAATTTAAATGTGTTAATGAGTTCCATTAGACACATGTTAAAAAACCCATAGTCATTTTACACAATTTATTTTCAAATTAATATGAATAGTAGGCAATTCTCCAAGTAGCAGTTAGTTGAGAATTTGATACAGAATGAGGACCTCGGACTTCAGGAATCTCCTGTCTATATCGATATTACTTAATTTAGGATTTTTTAATTAGGATTTTTTTTCTTAATAGACGGTGGAGTTTTAGTAGTTTTCTTTATTATTTCATTTCCTATTCTAATTAGATGTTTGAGGAGTTTCTTATTAGTTAAGTAGTTTTCTAAATTAATTAATTCCTATTCCTTATGTAATTCTGGTAGTAGTTATGTGCCTATAAATAGAATTATTAGGACAATGATATTCATTCAGGCTTTGACAATATTATTGATATTTTAACACTTGTAGTATTGTTTCGGTTTTATACCTTGGCCCTTTGGGTGCGCTCTAGATTTGAGATTATTGTTGAAGCTTGTTTATTTTGTGGAATTAATCATGAATCAACCTTGATTTCTCTACCATGGAGAGTATTCGTGTAATCCCTTTGTCATATCACACTTCTGTCTCGTGTCAATTGGTATCAAAGCAAGTTTCTCCTGTGATGAACATTGATGTGTATCACAATACATTGGATCGTGGAGAAGAGGGTGATTGCGCCTGGAAAGTTGCTCATGACCTCACCCTTATTCGACATGGTCCACATCAATTTCGAGATAGTTAGACTATGAAGCACCATCTTCAGATGATACAATTTTCACAAGTTTTGTTGGGTTAAACCCTAACTTTGGTTTGACCCAAAAAAAAAAAAAAACCTAACTCTAGGGACGAATTTTGTCAAAACATGCAGCTCGCGTATATGGTTTGCAATCTTTTGCCAAAGGAATGTGAGATTAAAGAAATAAATTATTTCGAATCAGGTGCAGAATTTTGAATCATATCTTTGATTCGGCAATGGATGGTAGTAGTTGTTGAAAGCACTATAATGAATTTGTTAAAATTGCCCGTTAAAGAGCATTCCCCAATCTTATAGGATTGGTTGGATACGAGGGGTTGAACACCTGTTGAGGTGATTGCAAGGTGTCATGTTCCGTTATCCATTGGTAAATATATTGATGAAGTTTTGTGTGATGTTGTGGATATAAATTCTTATCGCTTATTGCTTAGTAGACTATGACAATATGATGTAGATGCTATCATAGTGGATATAACAATATTTATTGATTTGTGATGGATGGCAAAAATATTGTTCTATGACTATTGAAAACCGGTTCACAATCTAGGTCTAATCAATTGAAAGGGACTAATTTGTTGCCTATATTTTGCAATTTTAACACAAGTACGAAGGATGTTCAAGGTGCCAAAAATGTTGAAAAAAAATTCCTGACACAACTGTTGAACTCCAACCAGATTTGGTGTCTAATAAATCTGAACATATGCAACTATGATTTCGGATAACAAAAATAAAAGTCCTTTTAAAGAGACTGAAATCAATCAAGTTCCTTCAACTGCAAATCTACTTCTTGGTTTGCCTGTCACATCCATGGAATCAGTTCTTATCTCGAGTTATTGAGCTATTGGCTCTAGAAAGAAATGTGTTTGAAAAGTTTTTTCCAATTGATAATTTTCCTTTGAAGATCAAGAAAGTTGAGTTCCTTGACAATCTGGGAAAAATCGTAAAGTTTATTTTGATAATTGTGGACAATGAAGTTGTTGGTTTTGAAATTGTCTTGGGATCATATACAACTTTCTATATTTATGACTGGATGTAACAGTTCCATCACAAGCATCGACCCTATAAAATTCGTGGCCGGATCATAGTTGCATCTTCTCATGGTTCCTATATTAAACTTCTCTGTGTGGAACTTGGGGATGAATTTTTCTTTTTTTAACTGGAGGAGTTTGATATAGAATGAGGACCCTAGGGTTCAAGAATCTCTTGTCTATATTGATATTACTTAATTTAAAAATTTATAATTAGGATCTTTTCCTATAAGATGAAGTAGTTTTAGCGCGCGCTTTTCTTTATTATTTCATATCCTATTATAGTTATATATACGTTTTAGAAGTTTCTTATTAGTTAAGTAGTTTTCTAAATTAATTAATTCCTATTCCTTATGTAATTCTAATAGTGCTTATGTGCATATAAATAGGATTATTAGGACTATTGCATTCATTTAGACTTTGGATATTATACGTGTAATTCTTATTAGGACTATTGCATTCAAAAAATAGGATTATTGATGGTTTATCACTTGTGTTGTTTGGGTATTATATTGTGTCATTTGGGTGCGCCCCTAGTTTAAGAATCTTGTTTATTTTGGGGAATTGACCGTGAATCAATCTGTCGGAGCAAAAGCGTGATAAGATAAAAGAGTTACACGAACACCTTTCATGTAAAGAAATCAGGATTGATACATGATCAACTCACCAAAATAAATAAGATTCAACAAGAATTTCAAACTCAGGGCGCACCCAACAGGACAAGTTATAAAATATAAACAACATAATAAGTGTTAAAATAACAATAATATTGTCAAAGTCTAAATGAATACAATAGTCTAATAACAATAACATTGTTGGAATCTAAATGAATAAAATAGTTTTAATAATCCTATTTATAGGCACATAAGCACGGCCAGAATTACATAAGGAATAGGAATTAATTAATTTAGGTAACTACTTAACTAAGAAAAACTCCTAAAACATCTCATTTGAATAAGAATAAAATAATAAAAAAATCTGCTAAAACTATTCCGTTTGTCTGAAAAAGGCCCTAATTTTAAATATCTTAAATTAAAGCAATATGGATATAGACGAGAGATTCCGGAGGCTCGGGTCCTTGTTCTTTGTCAGAGTTTTTTCCTCCTCCTGGATTTCCAAACTTTTAAGTTTTCATTTCCCAAATTTTAGCAAACTTTTTTCTCCCATTTGATAGCAGAAAAATATACCACGTTTCTAACTTGTGGCCAAGCAATTAGTACTACGATTAAAGAGCAGTGAGTACAATATGTTTTCAAATCCGTTTTTTGAATTTCCCTTTAAGTTCGCAGGTCCCACGTTGCCATCTCCTTTCCGCAACACGTGCTCCTATTCAGCCATGTCTGTCCGACAAAACTTTCTATCTTTACGCATTTTAAAGTCAGGTTCGGACCATATAAAAAGCACTAATCAGGCATCCATTTGAGGTCTCGTGGACAGTTTTTGAGATTTGTCTGTGCACTCCAGATTCTTCTTCAGCAAAGTGCTCCCAAACCCCAGACACAAAGGTAATTTAACTCATTTTTAGGTGAAATATTTTTGTCCCAACTTCCCATTTTTAGCTGCTTTTCTGTAACATTTATTTTATATATAGATTTCTTTTTGGTTTATGTGACTTTGATCTTTGTTGTTAATGTGACCCTTTGTTTTCCTTAATGTAAGGATTCCGTTTCTTTGATGGATAGCAACTATCTAGTACCATGTTTAAGCCTTGATTAAGTTGAGCTGATCTTGTAATTCAGCCAATATTTCGTTATGCATTAAATCAATGATTTAGCGTTGATAGAGTTGATCTTTCATTTTGTCACAGATCAGAGGAAATCCAGACTTTGGCAGTTAGAGAAATTGAAATGACTTCTCCAAGTAAACGAAGGGAGATGGATGTAATGAAGTTGTAAGTTCCATTTTCCTAATAGTATCCTGTTTCTATGCATTGAGGAATGGACAGAAGGAATTCTTGATGTTTTTGAATTGAAAATAAGTCTACTTACCTGACATGGTGTACCAGAAGTTTCCGCAACTTCAATTAGAACTTTTAGTAGGTTAGCACATGAGCATTTGATATATTATGTACGAGACAGTTAAACTTTGAATTCTTTTGCTGATGCATTCTTTGAAAAGATGATTTAGATTGAAATGTGATGAGCTCTGAAGGTTGATGGTTTATAAATTATAGTCCTCTGGCTCCGTAGATGACAAGTCAGTATGTGGGTAGATCTGGTAGATAAAGGAGAAAGCCTAGCGAGGAACAGGTAAAGCAATGAACCAGCTAATGAGGGAAACTATTAGCCTGTACTTCCATCTACATTCCAGATTGAAAATCTATCTATCATTTTTGTCATGTTGCTGTCCTTTATAGTTTGAGCACAAGACACGATAATGTCCTTGTTCTGTTCATTTCTCATAGTTCTAGTAAGTTTCAAGGAATAGTTAAGGCCTGAAAAGCTGTCGCACTTAGCTTTCTGCACAAAATTTTCAATTCTTTCTTGTATAAGTTCTTATGACTTATGAGAATTGTAGATGTGTACAATCTGGTTCTTGTTCTGTAACCAAAATTGCTGGACTAAAATGGGCATGGCATTTGATGTTTAACTAGGGACTTTTAATTGTTATATATTTTTCTCATACGTGAGCCTTTGATGATTTGACTATCTAGTTGATCACTCACGATTGTGATTATATACCTAACGACTGTACCAGTTTGAATCTGATAAGATACAGAAGGTATTAGATCAATGCCTTGCCCATTCGCCCCATACAAAACTTGTCTGTCATCAAAAGGAAGAATTATTCTACAATTACTACATCTACGTTCTGTGAAATATTGTTGTTGTGAACTGGATATGGACATAAATCAGCTCTGACTTGTGGTGATCTTGTAAACATTTGCATGAGCTGGTCCATATTTGTCACAATTTGGGTCCTCTGGTTCGTAACCTGTTAGTTGGTTGGTAATGTAGCAATACTACACCAATACAAGTAATGGATTCACTTGTAAAGTTCATAACTTAAAAACATGGTTGGATTTATGCAATTTGAGCTATAAATTGGACCTTGCCATGGAAGTTGAGACTATTAAAAGCAAAGGATCAGAATACAGTTAGAGAAGGAATGCTAGTGCTCCAGTTCCTCAGTAGACTCAACTTATGCTCCAAAGTTATCTTGCAATTTGTTATATCTAATGTTTTCATTTCTTTTGAAGCGGTAATTATTCTGCCATGCATGCACAGGTACAAGTTTTCTAATGTGCAACTTGAAAAAGATTTTTTCTTTTATGTATATTGACATGTAAAATAAAATACAGAATCATTTGTCGTCATTAATTTCAATTTCTTGCATTTTGCAATACCAGATTCTGTAGATTTATGGCTTTTGTTTTTACTGGTTGCAAGAAGGATTAACTGGTTGCTTTTTTGGCCTAAAGATGATGATTGGAGCATTGTTTTCCTTTTTTTCTCAATTTGATATTCTAGTTCTTTACCAAACAATTTTCCTCTTGAGAAAAGGTAGGTAGTGGAAGTTCAACTAATGTGTCAAATCCAGCCAGATGCTTGTTTGATGCTGTTGTATCTTTTTCAAGAGATATCATTCTCATTGAAATCCATTGTTGCTCCTGAACCTGGATAACACTTGAATGATGTGATATAAAATATCACCTATAATCTTTTGATCAATGGTGATTAGTAGATGACAAGAAGACCTCTCTGATTGATGATGTTTTAAATCTGAAAGTATTTTGTTGCAAGACAGCGTATTGCTTTTAATATAGCGTGGAAACTGTAATGTTGATTAATTCACTTTTTTCTGTGGTTGTGTTTGTTCAGGATGATGAGCGATTACAGTGTGGAAACCGTAAATGATGGGCTCAGTGAATTCAATGTGCTATTTCATGGTCCAAAAGAAAGTACAGTACAATTCTCATGCCTTCATTTGTGTAGTGTGCCTCATATTTGCTACTACAGTACAGTTCTGTTTTCTTTCTTATTGTTCTTGTTTCAAGATTGTACATTCTTTTTCTTAGGGGAATAAGTAAGAATCTCTTCCAGCTTTGCAAATAATAAAGTTACTGGAAGTTGGTAAATTAAAGCTTCCCCTCAATCTGATACCTTTTCTTTTTTGGTGCATTCATTTTCTATATGAAATAGAAGGATGAACTACTTTTGCTTCCTCTTCTTTGGCTTCAGTGGGAGGGTTCTGAACTTTGGCTTTCTCTTGCATTAAGAAATTATGTATTGTTAAGAATTAGTGTTCCAAACATTTCTGTCTGCATGTGGACCAGAAGAGATTTTTCTCTGGCAACATTTGACTTCTCAGATGAGAATGATTCTGCTGCACATCAATAGCCTAAAACTGTTCAAGATTTTTGCAGGCATATATGAAGGTGGGGTGTGGAAAGTCCATGTTGAGCTTCCTGATGCTTATCCATACAAGTCTCCTTCAATAGGATTTGTTAACAAGATTTTCCACCCAAATGTTGATGAATTGTGAGTTTGCTTGTGCTCTTGGCACTATATATTTTCGTCATTTTTCCAGACTAGTAATACTGTAATCTGTCCAGTCGATCATCACATTTCCTTTCCATCATTCTCTTACGAGAGACATAATTACTTTGCAGTGTATTCATTTTTTTCTTGTTTACTAATACAGTTCTTGTTTGATGTTATCAACTTTCAGGTCCGGTTCTGTCTGCTTAGATGTTATTAATCAATCATGGAGCCCTATGTTTGGTATAATCAGCCATCAAATTAGTTTGCTGTGTTATATTATGACTACTTATTGGATCAGTTCTAATTTTAAGTCTCGACGTTGATTAATTATTGCTATTTATTTTATGCAGATCTTTTAAACATTTTTGAAGTGTTTCTTCCACAGCTTTTACTTTATCCTAATCCTTCTGATCCATTAAATGGTGATGCTGCATCATTAATGATGAAGGACAAAACTCAATATGAACAGAAAGTTAAAGGTAAGACCTTCCACAGTTTTTCTGAATATTGAGCAGTATAATATTTTGTGATCATTTGGTCATTCCAGTGTACTGTAGTTGTAAAATTTCTCAGCAGAGAACAAATAGGAACAGGATTTGCAACTTATGGTTTGAAATCATAGTAAGAACTAAGAAGGTTAGAGAACCACCTATGAAATGCAAGTATGCAACAGTTATCTCTATTTATCAAGCTACAGTTTAGTTTAGTGCTTTAGTTTTAGTCAGTTTGCATACAAGATAGAAATTGGACAAATGAGAAAAAAATCTATACCAATCTTGTTATGATTTGTGATTCTTTAGGAAACATGGGAATCTCATCTTGTAATTTGTGCAATCAGTTTAGATTCTCATGTAAACGGTGATCGGTGTCCAAGCTAGTTTTCTTATGGTAAACCATTAATTTGCAAAGTATGGCTCTTAATCGATGATAAAGGATGCTGGAACAGAACAGGGGTACATAATTACTTTTACTAATTCAAGCTATTACATGATCATGTAGAAAACACGAAACATTTTCAGGACTATCGGATGCTGTAGACAAATGATCTGTCTCTGCATAAGATTCATTTTTTTAATCTACATTTATGGTATGGAAAATAAACTCGTCACTAATTATTCATGCAAGCAGAGTACTGTGAACGCTATGCGAAGGCGGAGAACTTTGTGAAGTCCAAAGAGGATGAAGAGAGTGAAGAAGAGGACATCAGTGATGGACACTGCACATCATCCGATGATGAAATTCCAGGACTAGAAGACCCTTGAATGTCCTTGGGATTTCAAGCCATTTTATGCCCATCATTCAACCACTTTTTGCGACCGTATTTGGCAATCTTTAGGTTACCTTGTAAATCATGAATGATGTGGCTTTCAACTTCAGATATGTTCACAAAATCTGTAGAATTTGTTTATTGCAGATGCAGCTAGTAGAAAAGTTTTAATTACTGAAAAATCAGAGTCTCTCTTTTGTCTTTTTTTTAGTCCTTTTAATTTGATGAATCTGATGACAAGTTTTATACTAACTTTCGCCCCTTGTACAACCCTTTACAAATTTAAACTGATAGTATACAACTTGTGAATGACTTTGTACATGTTTTTGGATGGGGCCAACAAACTTTTCAAAATGAGAATTACCTCCTAATTTACATAGCTGTTATGAGGTTGTGCAAGTTGTTTATAACGATTGATGAGTTACAAACTTGTCAGAAAACTTTTACATGGTTTGGGAGCAACTGCACAGGCAACTATTCATACCCATTTCCGTGAAATTATGTGATTTTAGAATTGCTGATGCAGTGTGAATACGAGGATATTTGTTCTAGCATAAGTTCAATTTTTAATCCTTTTCTTGATTGTGACTACCATCAGTCTCTGTCTTATATTCAGTTGGTATTTGTTTATCTTTTCTGTTGCCTGGCTAGATTAATCTTGGACAAAGACCATACTATGCAATCGGCTGCAGTGTGTCATGCATTTGTTCATGGTAGACAAATCGAATTTTCTGAAAACCAAAGCAAACGACTGATAAAAAAAATACACATAATGAAAGTCCACAGCAGGATATACATAAAGTAATTGCCGTCCAATAATCTTTAAAGTTCTGTTTTTGGCTAATTTTTTTTTGTAGGAAAGGATGAACAAAAACTGTATAAAGAAGTCCAGAGGTGGTTGGATGGATAGTAAGGACGTGCAAAATCTTTATCTGCCCTATGAAAGAATACCCTTGACTATTGTGTTTGTTTGATCTGAACAATTTGTTATACTTACACAACTGGCAGATGATGAATAAGAAAGAATGGCTTCAATGAAAAGTTTAGAAGAATAACTATTGCACTTTCTTGTTTGCAAGCAGGAAAAGGTAAATGAAAGGTTAATGGAAAAAATCTAATGGGCCCAAGTTCAAGAATCGGCAAAGAAGTGGAAAATTTTCTTCATGAATTTCATGATTGTTCACCACTAATGGTATAACTGCAATCCATGACGTTAGAAAAAGAGCCAGTTGTGTCCTAAAGACCAAAACGTGTCGAACCAGGATTACAATATCATTTCTCAGAAAAAATAAATATAGTCATAAAGCTTAGAAAATCATTAGTAGCATTATCAAACCGCTGTACTTGTTGGGAAGGCAACGGAGAAGTACACAAACTTTCAAAATGTTGACCTTTTCCAACAGCCGGCATCAAATATACAAAGTTTTCTGAGGGGATTTCAGTTGGCTGTAAAGGATTTCGGCAGCAGTAGTAGCCGTGTGGTAAAAATCATCTTTGCAAATTCAGCCAATTGGCATGTTATATTGCCTTTAGTCACTGCTATCATGTTGCTTTGTTCTTGGAAAACAATATGCTCTGACTAGTCTTTCAGGGATTTTTACAAAATGCAGAAGAAGTGAAATATAGTGCGCTTTTCATGATTTTTGCATTGCTTATGCAAGATGGATTGTGTTCCACCCTCCTGGGCATCATTCATGGTGTTTTCGCTTCTTCTGGTGAAGGTGAGTGCAGAAACAGTTGAAGTGAGGCAAGCATTGGTGCAATTTATGGACAACATTTATCCAGCGAATGCTCGAAGAGATGCGAGTTGGGGGTGGAATTCGAGCTCAGACCCCTGCGATGCACGGTGGAAAGGGGTGGGTTGTCGTGGTACTTCATCTGTCAGGAAAATAGTACTTGATGAGATCAATCTCACTGGAATTCTTGATGCCAGTTCTCTGTGTGTGACGAGATCACTTGCTGTTTTGAGCCTGAATGACAACAATGTTTTTGGAAATTTGCCTGAAGAGATATCAAATTGCAGTCGTCTGACACACTTGTATCTTTCTGGAAACAATTTCACAGGCAACCTTCCAAAATCTCTTTCGAGGTTGAATAACCTGAAAAGAATTGATATATCGAACAATAGATTCTCCGGTGCATTGCCTGATTTGTCAAGAATCTCAGGCTTGTTATCTTTCCTTGCTGAAAACAATCAGCTCAGTGGAGAGATACCAGATTTTGATTTCTCCAACCTTGTAGAGTTCAATGTTTCTTACAACAATTTCAGTGGACCTGTTCCTAATGTGGATGGTCATTTTGGTCCAAGTAGCTTCTTGGGTAATCCCGAATTATGTGGACAACCACTATCAATTGCATGTCCAACTCCTCCACCTGTTCCAGCTCCAACACCAGCCAAAAAGAAGCATTCCTCAAGCAAACAATACCTTATCTACTCTGGATATGCTATTTTGGCCTTGATCATTATATTCTTGGTTGGCTGCAAAGTCTTCAAGAGGAAGAAGCATGGTGCAAAGAATTCAATGGCAGCAGAGAATGAAAGCAGCAAGCCTAGTAGTACTTCTAGTGATTCAAAGATTAGGGAAGGAAGTCGGTCAGAATTTTCCATAATGTCTCCTGCGACAAGGAAAAGTTCATCTCTAGTTGTTCTTTCAAGTCCAGTGGTCAATGGCATGAAATTTGAGGATCTGCTACGAGCACCAGCAGAATTGGTTGGAAGAGGAAAACATGGAACCCTCTATAAGGTCGCACTCAATAATTCAGTGACCTTAGCAGTGAAAAGGATCAAGGACTGGGAGATTTCACGGGACGATTTTAAGAAGAGGATGCAGAAAATAAATGAAGTGAAGCATGCGAATGTGTTGCCTATTGTTGCCTATTATTGCTCTGAGCAGGAGAAGCTCTTAGTTTACGAATTCCAGCAGGATGGCAGTCTCTTCAGACTCCTTAATGGTAAGCCAAAGTACTTCTCCTGGCATTTGATTCCTCATAGTCTTGAATTGCACAATTTTTATCTGTAGATGCTTTAACTTCTGCAATATCTAGTTTTGAAACCAAACAGTAGTGTGTCAAATGTCGAGGAGAAAGGTTCATACAACATGCTTCATTCCTTTTCACAAATTTTCTTAGACTTCACCAACATATCCTTGTTATGTACTCTAGAGAACTTGGCATCTAGTTCTTTAATCTCTATCAATCTTTAAGAATAGAAAAAGGGAAATTAGAAAGAAACTGTTTCTAGATGAGGAAATTAGGTCTTTGACAATTAGGTTATATATGATTCTCTTTTATGTATGGTCCCACAAAACTTCAGAACAAGAAATGATTTTCAAACACATTGAACTACATGTCATATTTATTCATTGCAACCTCAGAACAGACGCAACAATTGATTGCAAAAGTAGGTAATCACCAAAAAGGGCAAAATGGAATCTAATGGTGATATATGTATCTCCAGGAAACCAGAAAGGTGAGATGTTTGATTGGGGAAGCAGATTAAGCGTTGCAGCTAGTACTGCTAATGCATTAGCTCTCATGCATCAGGAGCTTCAGAATGATGGCATTGCACACGGAAACCTTAAATCCTCCAACATATTGATGAACAAGGATATGGACCCCTGCATTAGTGAGTATGGCCTAATGATGGTTGAGAATCATGATGAACAATTTACTACTCAAATTGAAAGCATAATGGATGATGATTCACAAGGCAACAAGAAAATCTTCAAAGCCGACATTTATTCCTTCGGTGTAATTCTCCTCGAGCTGCTGACAGGCAAGCTTGTTGAGAACAGGGCATCTGACTTGGCTAAGTGGGTACATTCAGTGGTGAGAGAAGAATGGACAGCTGAAGTTTTTGACAAGGCACTGATTTCAGAAGGTGCAAGTGAAGAAAGGATGGTTAATTTGTTGCAGGTGGCTTTGAGGTGCATAAATCCTTCCTTAGATGCAAGGCCTAGCAGCAGTCAGGTTGCTGTGATGATAAACTCTATAAAAGGCGATGAAGAGAAATCCACAAATACAAGCATTGAGCTCTAACATCTGATCATAAATGTTCAGCCATCACGCTTCCTTGAAATGACAGGAAGATATGTTGATCTAATATCTGAATGCAATGCTTCCTCTTCATGCAATCTCAGATACCATGAAATGATTGATTACTACATTGCAGATATGCATGAGCTCTCAAGATGTGGTTAAAAAAAAAATTCTTTCTGTATTCATAATAACTTTTACTACTGTATTTATGGAAAAATTTGACATTTATCTTGTAAAAGTGTAATTTTTTTGTCCAGATTTGGTGTAACTATATTATCAGCTTTGCTCAGCCTGCTGTTGAATTTTTCTTAGTCTGGAATAAAAGATGTCCTTTTCTTTTGTCCTCAAGAGCAAGTTGAAGAAAGCTTCCCTCCTAAAGCATCCTTCTTCGCTCTTGCGCCCTGTCTAAACTCGGTCAAAAAAGCCACCCCAAGTGGTGAACCAAAGGAGATCTTTGGCCCTTGTCCTCACTCTGATCAAGGATCTTGCAGTGAGGGAGATGGGATATTGATCCACAACTATAGCCAAAAACAAAATGTTATAAACTTCAACAAAATGTTGCCAGTTCATTGTTGTGAATTTACTGATTCAACATAATATTGATCGGATGAAATTCCCGGGGTAGGAAGACAAGGATCAGAATAAATTCTTCTCTGTTTAACTTGCCTAAACAGAACCAGCTTGTTTAGGTCTCTCCCTAATATGTATACTTTCACAATTCTACACATGAATATGATGTTTGTAACTGTAAATCTACTTAACTGAAGTTGAACAAAAATTTAGCATTTGCACTGCCCATTTTCCTTATGAGATGATTTAACAGTGTCAATCACTATAATGCACTGCAAAAGCTAGGTCAATTTGATCCATGGTCCCCAAGCTGATATTCTCTTGTTTTTCTTTGGAAAGATCCTGTAGGACACAATAATGTCTATCTATAATATGATTTTCTTCCAATTGAAATGACCTGGGGTTTTCCCAATTACATGACTCCCTAAAAATCAGATGGTTGCATATATAGTTGGAGAAATGAAAGGATTAAAAGTTCCCAACTTCCTTGTTAACTTGGCTTAATGTCAAACAAAAAAGGTTAGGCAACATTCTATCTGAATGATTAGTCATAATCCCCCACTTCGAAGGACAATAATGGTGGATGGTTTTGTCACCGCACGCGTTGCTTTGTGTCACCTCATGCTCAAATGTATGGAAAACAATGAGATACAATAGAGTCTTGCATCTCCATTTTTGCTCGTGTTCTCCGGGCAAGCATTACAAGTTTAGGTAAATTAGTTTCAGGTTCTTAAAACTTGTCTCAATATCTAATTTGGTCAACAATTTAATACAAAAAAGGAAATAAATACAGGTGTTGTGCGTCAATTGTACAAAATTTATTTATTTTTTTCCCTTTTTTCTCTCTGACTTGCTTTTTTGATGGGTGAATCATGAATGAATCCTAATGAATAGAAAGTTTGAAAGTTGGTAATCAAAATTATTCTCCACAGGGTTGGTGGACTGCTTAATCATTGCTGATATACTTTTGGCTTACTCGTCTATACAAAAGCATCACAAAAGCAGTGTGAATGGGAGCTTTGTTTAAAATTTAACTTCTTGAAAACTTTGACTAATTTAGTTTGCAGATATCCTTATAACTTCTCCCCCCCAATGTTCCTCATTCTCCCCTTCTTTTTCTGCATTATGGCCGGCAAAGCAAGCATGAATATGGTGTTTGTAAGCATGAATATGGTGTTTGTAAAGAAAATAATTGCAATGGATGTATACTGAAATATCAACTGATCCCCTTTTTGCATTGTAGGATCCTAATATATAAAACGAGGATACAACTTGATCGCTTAGCCATATTGATAATATGCAAATAGGAACAGAACAAAAAAAAAGAAAAGAAAAGGAAAGGTACACCAAAGAATTCAGGACAAACGAGAAGGGACACAAAATGTAGGGCGGGGAAAGTGACATATGTAGTACATTTGGTGAAGTAGGGAAAATTGCATCACTCATCCTTCACATGTTATAGATGTAAAATTTTAGTCTCTCATAATCAAAATGAGTGTTTTTAGTTCTTAAAAAATAAAAAATGCTTTTGGTCCCTCGTCATCTTTTCAGTGAAATTTTAGCCAGAATAGGTCATGAACGCATCACATGATCAGTTTTAGAAGGGAAACCTTAGCAACTCACTAGGTGATGATCCAATTTCTCACTTAATCTACCATTTTTCCCAATTATTCTCCATCCAAACCCTAATTTTGCAAATCCAAATGTATACAATCCATTTCTCTCTTCCACCATGATCCTCCCATGTCATTCTGACTTCCACCATTGCCACCACCACCCCCTAATCCCTTCTTACTCCTATCCCACCACTTCCTCCCCTTCTCCCTCCATCGTCCTCTTCTTCCTCTATCTTTAATGGTCTTGTAATTAGGTCCATCTCTTTCACCCTCTATTTTTTAAATTACATGGAAATGGGTCTTGTAAAGTTTCAAACCTTTGTTCTAAATATGTTGATTCGTCAGGTTATATGGTTGATTTTGGGACTTGCTAATGTTCTATGTTTCATGTGGGTTGTTTTGTTAAAAATTTCATGAGTTTTGGTGATGTTTTTGAGGGGAAAAAATGGGAAGCAACTGCAGCTGTTTTGGAGATTTTGACCATTTTTTTGTATAGTTTTGCTAAAAATATTGCCTGATTTATAACCTATACAAAAAATAGAGTGGAGTGGTAAAATTTGAGAGAATTCTATAACTAGAGAATAACGGCCTGCAGTGGCACTATACTAAAATTTGCCATTGTAGATCTAGTGAGCTTTGCAAGAAAATAGGAAAAAAAATGAAATAAGATGATAGAGAAAGGAAAAAGAAATGAAAAAGAAAGAAAGGAAGAAGAAGGAAAATAGAGAAATTAAGTTTTTATTGAAACTACGCCATTTTGGTTATTAGTTTGGCATTTGGAGAATAATTGAGAGAAATGGTTAATTAAAAAATAATGGGGCATTAAGTGAGTTATCAAATTTGCCTTTAAATATTGATCATAGTTATCATATTTTCCCTTTAAATATTGATCATGTGATGGATCGGTAACTTTTTCCAGCCAAAATTTAACCAGAAAGGTGAATAGGGACCAAAATAAATATTTTTTATTTATTAGGGACTAAAATCGCTCATTTTCATCCTAAAGGACTGCGGGTTGGTGCAATATTTCCGGTGAAATTTAGTGATGACCCAAATTGAAACCATAATGTTGAGAAATAGTGATCAAAGTCATTAAGCAATGTCTTGAATAGTATCTTGCACTTGTCACCTGCTATTATCAGCCTTGTCTCCTTTTTGCCTCCCCCAAAATGCTTGTACCCAAAATTGACAACAACATATCAAAGAATATTTGTATCATGGATATTTCAATTTCACAATCTTGGTGTCTCATTACAAGAGATTGGCTTTGATCAGTTACTGATTTTTCTGCACAATCAGAGGTAGGCCAACAGTAACCTGCAAACTTTACTATCACTCCTTGAGATTCTCCCTGTATTATCAGTTTCCCTTAACTATGTTCTGCAATTCTAATCAGACTCTCATCTTGATATGGTATTTCAATTTAATTATTTTTTTACCGTTTTCTCCTATTCATAAAACAATTTCCTGAAACTCATTCTTGTATTCTTTAGTAAGTCCCTTTTTTTTCCAATTTTTATTTTCATACTTTTCAGGATTCTAGATCAGACCACTTAGAGAAAAGTTCCCAGTTGCTTACCATCTGAGGAATAATATCTCTTTTCTGATGCTTTTCCTCCTGTATCCTCTACCTAGAGATTCTACCCCATTTGGTAGGTAATAAAATATTCTCTTTTAAGCATACCAACTCTGGAGATTCTTAGAGAATTTGGCAATTTGGATAACCAACTTGAAGAAAAAGGTGAGACATCTCTTCTTACATTCTTCCCTTCCTGCCCATTGCAGATTCCTCAGAGAGTTTTCCACTTTATCTCAGAAATAACAATTCCATCCATGGGCAAAATCAGTCCAATAGTTCTACTAGTTATAATCATCCTAGCAGTAATCTTCTTTGTCTATGGTTTGCTTCATCTTCTCTTTAGATATTTCATGAAGATACCATCTTTTTCAGCGGTTTCTCAATCCAATAGAAACAGAGAAACCTCAGGTTCCCATGCTCTTCAAAGACAGCTGCAACAACTCTTTCAGATGCATGATTCTGGCCTTGACCAAGCTCTTATTGATGCCTTGCCAATCTTTTATTACAAAGACATTATGGGATTGAAGGAGCCATTTGATTGTGCTGTTTGCTTGTGTGAATTTTCTGACCAAGATATGCTAAGATTACTTCCCCTTTGCAGCCATGCTTTTCATCTAAATTGCATAGATACTTGGTTACTATCAAACTCTACCTGTCCATTATGTAGAAGTGTCATTAGCTCCGGGACTCCCATTGGAAATAACCCTTTGTTTAATTTTCATGGATCAAGAGAAAGATCGAATCGCTCTTTGGTGGACTCTGAGAATGAGCACTATTGCAACCACAAGCCAGATATTATGCAAGAAAGCGCAAGCGAAATGAGAGTTTTTTCTGTTAGGCTCGGCAAGTATAGAAGCATTAATGAAGAGGGTAGGAATGGAGACCATAGAAGTGATCAGATGGAAATGATCAGTAGCTGCAACTTGGATGGAAGGAGATGCTACTCAATGGGCACATTTCAGTATATAGTTAATTCTGAGATGCAAGTGGCTTTATCCGATGGAGATAGTCTGAAACTAATCAAAGGTAGTGTTGATCAAGGAAACTTTGCACCTGACAATACGGAAAGAGAAGGAAAGAAGATCTGTGCTAGGACTAGAAGGGAGAGCTTTTCTGTGTCCAAGATATGGCTTTGGTCCAAGGAGGAGAGTTCTCAAAGCTTATCCGAAAACACATTAAATGTGAATTCTTTTAATGTTGATATGCCTATGATTGAAGGAACTCACTAAATATCTGCATCATCTTCTTGCTGCATTTCAATTTTAAATAGAGAAATTAATAATCTATATGCATCCAAAGGTTATTCATGTTAGGATGATATGTTTTGTCTTCTTGAGTTGAAGTATTATATAACGGTCATTTTCTTAGGAAACAAAACTAATTATAATGATTGTACATTAAAATGACTCTTGAGTTTTGTTGAGTAGATGATTTGATTTCATAAAGGCTTGATGCAAAATGTCTCCTTGAACTTTCATGTCTATAAGGTTTGCTCTTTAAACTATCTGTAGAAGATTAATTAATACTATTAATTTGTTTCGTGTTACACACCAGCACATGGATTTGGTTGGTTTTGCTTAAATGCAGAGACTATAGCATCACAAAATGGATGGCTTATCAAAATACCATTATAAGTGTAAAATTGCTTCGAATTTTGTTGAGATTGGGAACCAGAGCAATGAATAGGAGAGGTGAGAATGAGAACTCCCATTTCCATGCAAAGAATCGCTTAGTGGTTTAAATCCTTTTCCAAACAGATCCTTTGTTTTAAAACTAAAATGACCTTGTCTAGCACTTGGTGTCACTCAGGGCAGGTGCCTTGTACAAAAAATTTGTCTAATAAGATTTGTGCAACAAGGAGTTGTATTCTCTTGGTCCGAACAAATGGTAAGATCTCTATGCCCTTGGTGGAATCCTAGGTCGTGGTAAATTTGTTTGGATCTTGGCTTGGCACTTGATCCTCATTCTCTCTCTCTCTCTTTTAAAATAAAAGTTCGAATGAATACGGTTCCGATCACCCTTATGAGTTAAGGTATGTCCTAAGAACGATAAGTTAGCTAATAAGGTTCTTATAAATTGCACACCAGCACAGCCCTCACATGCGACATATTTCAAATACAAGATCTTTTATGAGGAAGTGGCTCGTACTTGCTAACTAGTTAGCACTTGATCCTCATACATGTTCTACTTCATGCCTTTTGTGCGAATGACAAAATGTTCATAATCATCTCCTCCATTCCGTTCATAATTACCTCTTGTCTTACATGAATTGTCTAGTCAACCTCATAGTCTCGTGCACATGGTCTCTACAGAACTGTTTACGGACACAGAAAAGAATAGGGACTAGCAACTCTCTCAACTCTGTAGACAATGTGTGCATGATCCCTATTTGCTAGATCAATTAATAAACAGACAGGTCTAGAAATGCAATTTAGCCCAAGGAAGCCCAAAACAAACAGATTATGCGACTAATGATAGGCTTTTGAACCAGTTAAATGCCAAAAATATTTTCCTCCATGGAGATTTGATATACTAGGAAGTATTTATGGTGCATTCACCGGGGCATTGTGGGGGGGCGGGGATGTTGGTTTTGTTGAGGTTGTAGTCGTTGAAAGTCACTTATATGCATTAAGACATAATCTTCGTGCTTGGTTTAGGTGATTTGGTTTGGCATTAAAAAAAAAAAAAAACAATTGTGATCATTTTGTTTTACATCACCGGCCTAAAATTGGTCTTATTGATGGCATGTTACAACTTCAACCCATCCTAGATAGTGACTAGGGTAACATACTTAGAGGTTATGGATTCAGATTGCTCTGTTCTCTCCCCATTTTTTAAATCTCATCCCTTTACTGTTGAAGTCAAAAAAAAAAGGAGGATGTTGTAAATACAAAAAATAGATATAAGATTTGATTATAGGATTAGATTGCAGTTGGATTTAGATACCTTCATTTTATTCTCTAAATTTGTGAGTTTACTTTTGGGATCTAGGTCATTCTACACTTGTATAGATTTGTATCTTTTGGAGTATTGTTGAAGTCAAATCATAGCAGATAAAGTGAGGAAAATGACTTTAAGGTGTGTTGCACTCACTCGTCGCTATCCTTAATGTTTACTTTGCCTCTACAGATAGTGTACAAAAGAATTCTGTAAATTAACCTTTAGAATATGATATAATCCTTATTTGACTATGTTTTGCACTAACCGGATCAAACCGTCGAGTATTCAACGTTTGTAAGACTTGTCAGAAGTGTTTTTTTATAGAGAAGAAAATTTAGAAAAGAATTGTGAAAAGTACTATGATGCTTTTTTGGTGTCTGAGTATTTGTTGTATCTTTCAATAACCATTTGATAATTAGTTATAAATGGGGTTATGCTTGAACAATAAAGGAACACATCCCTTATTTAGGGGTGTAAACAAGACTAATCAAACCAAACATTCTAGTGTTCCAACCTTATTTGATTATTTTAACGAGTTTGTTCAAATTTGTTTGTTTATTTGTCGAATCGAATTTGAATGAATTTTTTTATTAAGTTTAAACGTTATCGAATATAAAATGTTGTTTAAATTTGGTTTGACTAACTAGCGAATCAAGCTCAAACGAGCTCTTACCAAATTAAAATCAATTCAAATATCGAGTAGTATTTATCTTTCAACCTTACCTTTGTTGAATTCAATAGCTAAATGAAGAGTTGCAAGACTCATACCTATTCAGGAAATAAATAACCAGATATAACTGATTTGGAACAAAAGTCCTATTATTTTAAAATTCTCCTACATAACCGTAGCAAGTGTTTACTGGACGCGATCCTTAATGTTGTGCAACAGGATAGGCATTTTGGCTTCCGTAGCAAAACTTTTGAGCTCGTCATTGGGGTCGTTGTGGTAAAACTTGATCTTATTCGACATGTATTCATAGAAACGAGAGATTTACATAAATAAAAAAGGGAACCCTTAAGTGTTTCCCTAAGCGCGCTTAAGACAAGATTTGATAAACTTCAGCGTCCCGACTGTAGCACAAGAGTATCCATAATGAATATAAAACTTCGAAAAAAGAGGAATAAATAACTATGAGGGCAAAGTGCCCCAGCGGCCCTCAAATTATTATGAAATTTAACTTTTAATCCTTCAATTGTTAAATAATAAGTTTTAACTCTTCAACTAATTAAAATATATAAATAAGTTTCTCCCTTCCGTCAACTTGAGTCATTATATCTAATAGAGCTACAGGATTGATGAGATGGCCAAAATGCCCCACTGGCCATCAAACTATTATAAAATTTAACTTTTGACCCTCTAATTATTAACTAACAAATTTTAACCCTACAACTAATTAAAATGTATAATCATAACCCTTCCACTAACTTGAATCGTCATTGTTAAACAGAAACATCTATTGATAAAGAATTCGGAATATGCCCAACCAACTTGGTGTTTGGCAAATCAAGAAGGTTTCGATATAATGATGTAAAGTTTGGAGGAATCTCGCCAAAAAATTAATTATTTGAGAGATTTAGAAAATTCAAGTTTGGAAGAGAACCAACGTTTGTTGGAATATTCTTTGATTTATGTCATTAAAAGACACATATGAACCCAATGAATCTGGAACAACACCGAAAAATGAGTTAAATTTAAAATGAAGACAATTCAATTTCTTCAAGTTGCCTATCCTTGTCGGAATTTCTCTGTTTAGGGATATAGGTTTTCAATTGATTTTGTTCAAGAATTGGAAATTTGGTAAATTAGTTTATGAGTCAAATGGGGTTAAAACAATTTTACCCTAACATATGTCTTGTGAAGATGAAAGCACCCTTCAGTTATGCCCCCTGCTGCACACATGGTAATGTTTCTATTCAACATAATGTCTCAAATTGATGGAAGGGCTAGTATTATACATTTTCATTAGTTGAAGGGGTAAAATTTATCAATTAATAGTTAAAGGGTCAAAAGTTAAATTTTATAATAATTTGAGAGCCTCTGTTGTGCATGTCGTGCTATTTCTATTAAATATAACGACTTAAGTTGATGGAAGTGCTAAGCTTGCATGTTTTAATTAGTTGGAGAGTTAATAATTGAAGAATCAAAAGTTGATAGTTTGAGGGCCACCGAAACATTTTGCCCTAACTATGAAAAGTAGAAGTATAATAGAAAGATTCAATAATAAAAACCCTAACCTTATTATAGGCTTAATTACGTACTGTCCCCTTACTTAAGGGTCCACAACAATTCCTCCCCTCCCCCCTCCCCCTAAATGTCTAGACCACAAAATCCACAAAATGCTCCAAAGACTTAAGACTTGAACATATCTGGATAGCAAAAAGATAATCATACCATCATTGAAAAAAAAATTGCCAAATGACCCTTTTCTTTTTCTTTTTTGTCTTCTTTATATACCAAAAATAGTTTTTCTATATTTCTTCTTCTCCCTCTTCCTTTCCTTTTATGAACTAAAGATTTCTTTTCATACTTAAGATGCATAGTTATGTTCTTATAACATAATATTTAATTATCGTAAAAAATTAAAATGTATATATTTAATAAATGGTAGAAGTAATTTTTTAGTTGGATTTAAATAAATGGTAGAAGCTAAATATGTAACAAAAATGTTTCACTTTAATTTTTCTTTATTCTTTTTTTACTTCTTTTTCTTTCATCTTTATCCTTATCATGTGTCTTGATGCCTAAATATGTGTTGTTATTTGTTATTATAAAAAATATATTCTTAATTTTGATAATAAACTAAAAATTATATATTTAAGAATCATATGTTATGTAATTTTTCTTTTACAAACTATTAAAGCATAGTCAACATTTTATTAACAATCAATGCATATTAGGGAATTGTTAATAAAAAGAAGTAATTCATTTCTTTGTATTGAATTATTGATAAATGTTTTTTAACTTTGTATGACAATTTATGATAATTCAACAATTTTTCATAAGAAAATAACACTATATATCTAAACAAGAAACAAATTCGTTAGCACTTTGTGAAGCTAATATCTCGTGAAGATAATTCATAATTATAAATAACTAAGGTCTCCTTGTAGATAATGTGAAATGATCATTAACTATGTATTGTGGTAATTTTGGCATGCAAATAGGTGGAGAAACTAGGTTGCAAGTGCTCTAAGTTACTTTCAACAAGGGTGGAACGCCCCAGACATTGGAGTGCCGATATCATCGAATTCTTAGTCAATCAACCACAAAAGATAGAGAGTGGTGCCCAAGAAAATTGAAAGGATAGTTTAAGCTAGAAGTGGCAAAATGGATTCATATCCACCAATCCATCCATAT